TTTCTGAGATATGCTCAAATGGAAAAATAATAATATGAAGAAGAAGAATAATAATCCGAACAAAAACAATAGTGTTTCACACAAGCTACGCAGTGTGAAACCCTAATAAGACTCATTTGAATAAAATATATGTTTTAAGGCTAAAAATATAGTTTTTGTCCAAAAGACGTCATTTCCAGTAACACTGTAAATTTGTTTGACCTAGTCATAATGGGCATTAGGCATCAAATGAAAATCGAAAGATAATTGACTCATACAAAATTGCCTATTTCTCGGTTATTCCAGTGCATGCTCTCCAGATAAGAATTGTCATTTTGGTCGCCATTTTCATGGATAAAATCTGGTACTACAATTTTTGGATGTAGCACCCCTAAAAACACATACAATGACATTAGTAAACACAAAGCTTGTGAAAACTTGAAAATTTGTCATTTTGGCGTCCATTTTGAAAAAAGATGGCGGAAATTGTTGGATTAAATTTTTACTACAATTTTCGTCTTCAGCACCCCTGAAAACCTTTAGAAAACAATATTCAACGACAAAACAGCAAATAAATGGCCTGGTTGCCATGGGATTTTGTTTTGAAACATAACAAATCTTTGACTTGATTTTTGAAATTTTCTCTAAACTTACTTTGGTGATTTGGGTGGCTTCAAACGGACACAGCTCAGTCAGATTTTGCCCGATTCAAATTGAAGGTATTGAGCTGGAGAATGTCAAAATAACAATAACTCAATTTTAAAAAATTCCTCATTGCGACTCATTATGCCGTGATGGGTCCACATATATTGTATAAATGCATATATATAATACTAATAGTTGTGGATGGTGATAATGGTTATAATATTCAAATACCTAGGTTTATTTACAAGAACGTGTAACCAATATTATATCACAGAAATTAGATTTTTTGTGCCACCTTTTCGGGCGTGGGATTTTGCTTTTGGTTTTTTCAATCAAGACAACATTATAACGGTAATTATGTCTGTGACAGAAGTCACAGAGTGAGTGCGTTTATCAAATGAGCAGGGGACTGGTTTTGTGTGTACACCACACAATTGGAGTTTATACTTGAAATTTAACGTTTTGTATTTATTTCATGTTAACATTTTTCAATGAATTATAATTGTGCCAGCGAAATCTTTCCTTTTTAAAAGTTATCAAGTGCTACATATGACGTTTATATCTAAATTCACATATCTTTATTGATTAACATATTTACCGTAGTCTGGATTTTTGATTATAGTTATGCTATCAAACAATTTTACAAGGTTTTACATGATGTGCTTTAGAAAACAGGTTTGTCTCAAGCTTAAGTGTGCTATCTCTATCAATTTATGTGGAATGATGTAAGGTATGTAAAAGGCACATATAAAAAAATGGTGGAAGGTTTATGAATATACAATATACTTATATGTACAGAATATTTAAGTATTAACAAATTTAGCTGGAAGTATATATGTTCGTACATATATGATTACATTTACTTGAAATATGCTCTTTGAAATTGTAATGATTAAATTTATTTTCGATATTTAAAAGGTCCTTCAAATAAAAAAGCTGTCTGCTACTATACAATTTTACTCATTAAATGCACTTGCTGTAATCAAGGAAAGAAAGAGGGATAGTGATCATGAAGACAATTGTATTTTAGTATACTTCCAGTTTATAAACAATTGGAGTTTATACAATTCCTAACATTATTACATAAGAATATATAGGTGGAGCTATGTTATATTATACAATGATATAATAATTTTTTTGTATTCAGTAACTAGTCTATAATCCTCATAAGATAACAAGGAAATGAGGTAAAAGGGTGGAACACATCAGCTGTAGAGTTTAGTGTTTGTGGACACAGCGACAGGCATTATTATAACAGTATCTGCACATCTATCATAGCTGTCATGGGTTTTACATGTACTTCAAACAAGCGAGTAGATGACAAAGAATATGGTAGCCAATTATGAACATCGAAGTGTGCACAGCAGTTGAACTGTTAGTTTGATTTTAAGTTTATTGACTGTGGGGGTAGACATCTGCATGCGTAGTATAATTTTGAGACACACATTCGGGTTATTCTCGTATATTTAACAGATTACGACCATACGTTGAACCAACATTCAGAATTTGGCTTTGCACATGTTTTTAAAGATTTCTTCAGCCAGATAAATACTTTATAAGTTGATCATTTACATCAGGGTATAATTCAACATGGCAAGTTTTGCCACTATGGCCCTCTGCTCGAACCTTACCATTTCGAAAAACCACGCTGATTTCACAAGGGGGTGTTTTTGTACAGCTGATTGTAGTTTCACATTGACTTGTGTCATGTCTTCGGATATAGATATGCCAGTTTGTTTCCTATTTGATTGTACTAATTGTCTTTCATCGCGTCTCATAAAACGCACAATGATGCGTCTATGATGTGTTGGTATTGGATGGACTTGTCCGACAACAGCCTGGTTTGGTTAAGATTTGGGTCCGACTCTATGCGCGGCATCTATCAATATCAACTTATCAATCTTTAATCTGTCCTTAATTATTTTGTGGAATAGCTCGAGACAGTTCTATAATCTTCTATAATCGTTCATGGAAGCTATCAACATCACTGCCTACGTTTACAGGGGTGTGTCTATGACTAGTCTGTGTCTACGGTTGTATGCCGTCTATGACTTGCCATGTTTTTATTGTGCAAAATTCAAATATTTTTCATATATATTTAGCCAGGTGTGGCACTATTTTTTTCATGTGTTCCAATGTGTGCCGTTGGCGAAAAAAGGTTGAGAAGAATTGCTTTAGGCAGAGCGCTGATGAAAACCACTTTCTCCAGCCGCTATCTTGAATTGTGATCACCATTTCACATCCAGCAATACAGTCCACCGCTGATAGTTCGAGACTACCACTGAAGCGTGCACATTAGCCGTGTCGAGACCAACTTTCTGACAGTATAATACTATAAATAGCCATGGCACTTGCAATTCTCTACAAATCTATTAACTATTACAGCCGTCAAAAATTTATTGTAGACGATTTTGAATAGCAGTAAAATTAAGCTTCTTGGTTATTACAGCAGATTTAGAAATTACGTTCGTTTTATTTTTTAAATTGCTTTATCATTAACTGTACCGTTAAGAGCGGCATCTTTTGGTTTAGTACAAATAATATCTCTGAATCACTTTCGTTAGCAGGAACGTGATACTAGCAGTAGTTTCATTTTACTTTTACAAGCTTCTTAAAACAATTGTTGAGCTGGCTAACGTGCGTTTTTCTAAATTCAATTTCTTGTTCCAGCTTTCTGTTATGTTTCGTAAAAAGGTAGTCTTGATTATCCCGACCTGTCAATCAGACGTAGAATGGTCGGTACACTGGTTAAGCGAGACGAATTTCAAAACAGGGGCACGTAACCTATCTTTTACTCAAAAGTGTCTGGATGTTATGGACGAAACTTGGAACCAGTTTCAGCCTATTATTTATAGATCATTAAATGGTCATAGCTTATTAAGTACAGCATGATCGTTTATTTAGTGACTATAATTGTGTGAAACTGATTTAAGGCTTGGTATATATATATAAATATTGTGGCGTAATTGTCGAGATATTTGGAGATATTTATTTATGGTGGGTCACCCTACCAGCAATCGAGGTCCACTGCATGACAATATTCTTCATGTTCGGAGGGGCTCTTCTGGGGTGAGCTTAGTGTTGCCCGTCCACTTGTTGTGATGCAAGTTGATGCTTTGAATGGGGTGGAGAAGTTGCAGCTAGGGAAAGCCGTCCGACTGAAGGGAATCAGTTTTAAGCTGATTTCTGGTCACTTATTGCCGGATGTTACTATTACAATTGGAAGTTCTTCTTTCATATTAAATGTTGGTGTTGCTCCAATTTTTAACAAAGTGATTCTTGACTTGGACGTATTAGAAAAGTATAACTGTGTGGTCAGTCTAAGAAATTGTGTCGTTTCGGTCAGAGAGGAGGTTCTAACTGCTTCCTTGGGTAGTGCATATGAAGAAAATTACTGGTCTTGATCCTAACATGATGAAATTGTAGGTTGGAGTAATCTCCCTTGGGGAGAATGTTTTCCGGCTCCATTATTTGAAAAACACATATAATTATATGTTTAACAATTTAAATCAGATAGAAAGCTTTTTAAAGAAAGTAATCGTAAATCAATTTGTACTTCACAAGTTGGTTATCTCAAGTTGGTCATGTCATCTGGTCTTGCGACAAGGAATACTGTTAAATTATTGTAGCGGGGATTAATTTGCTACTTTTCAGGTTGTCCGTTTGGTTGTTTGGTCTTGTTATTTAATTAATGGGATTTCGAGTTTTATTTTTCATAGTTAAAAAAGTCAAAAAAGATGTTATGGGTTGTGGTGTATATATGTTTCTATTGTAGTTATACTTTTGAAGTTTTGGTCTTGGTTTTATGGGAACTAGGATTTGATTCTTATGTTTGGTGGAATTTGTTCTTTGTGTCCTTAGTCTAAAATATTGAGGAGTTACTTTTGTTCTAGAAGGTTTTGTTGTACATTTCACTTGGAGGTTGTTTATCAGGTGATATGATTTGCTGTATTCTGATTGGTTATTTGGGTGGCGCATTTTATTAAAAGATATGAATTAGTATTTTCTCTCACTCTTCTTTTTCTACTTGGATGACTGGTTCCTGAGATTCATACAGCTCATTTCCACAAACTGGTAAGACACATTTACATTACATATAATTTAAAACACATGAATGCTTGATATGTGACTTTATTTTGTGAAATAAAGTGTGTAGAATGAATGATTCTATATTATGATTTTATGAAATAATTCATAGACTTTATCCAAAGATGTAAGTCAATCATTCGGTTTACTGTGATATGATTAAGATTGTATAACATTGACTTGTATCATTAGTTTAGTATGGAATGTATTTTTGTTCTTTCAGGGCATATTGTTATTTCAATTCATGAGGTTTTTTGACGTTCTTCCTATATGCTCTGGTGCTTCATCTCTAAACTGTAACCGCGTTCGCGGTAGTAGGGTGCTGTATTCTCTTTAACTATTTTAGTAGGGTGTTATATTCTGTTTAAAGATTTTAGTCAGTTTCCATTGTCCTGTTTATCCAGCTAGCCTTGTATTTCCAGTAGTTATAATTACTTTAGTTTAGTTTAAAGATGATATTGTAAGATAGTGAGTAGATTTAAGTGTCTTAGAAACCTGCTTTGTTTATCCTAGTTACTAACTTCACTCTTTTATTATCTGGTCAACTATCAACATCTCTATTTAATTACAGCACAATTCATCATTTATTTCAAGGTAGGTTTAATATTTGTTTGACTGGACTAGACATTTTAAACTATATAAGTAATTCTAAACTAATAAATTAATTATTAGCAAATTAGGTAACTTTATATTTCATAAATAAACATTGATTAAATATATTATCCCCTGTGTAATGTCTTGTTAATTGTTTTATACTATAGCGTTCCTAATTGTGTTGTCTGTAAAGTTTACAACTCTATGGTCACATTTATTTTCCTGGAAAGCACCCGTCTTAGGGTATGTTAGTTTGATATCTATATTTATATCATTCTTTGTCATAACGGATTAAATGTAAATATATAGTCTTGATATTTTAATACATATAATATAGTACTTATATTATAACTTGCCTCCTGAATTAGTAATTAATAGAATATATATCATTTAATAATTCACTTGTGTAAATAATCATTTTGTATCTTTTCAGGGTTTTTTTGTTCTGTAAAATATTATATTGTCCTGTTGTTCACTGGTCTCAACTGTTCTGTTCAACCCCGACCTGGAGTCGATCATGCGATCCTCCAGCTACAAAATGGCGCCCAACGTGGTATAGAGACGGTGGATTCCTGGTGTGTTTTGTGATCTGTGTTTTGCGAACTCTTACTTGATTTGTGTTTGTGTTGGAATTCTTGGATTTTTCTGGATTTCTGCGAAAGAGCTATGTAAGTTGTTTTTTCTTATACTTGGCCAAGTAAACATTTTGTTTCTATGAATATATTATTATAATTGTATTAATTGTTCTTATTATTAACGTACATAGTATATAAATTACAAAGTTGGCCAAGTAAACATTTTGTTTGTATGAATATATTATTATAATTGTATTAATTGTAATATTGAGTAGTTTATTGTTGTAAGTGTGAATGTGTATGTATATCTGGGGACGCCTTGATTGTCTGTCTTAGTCTTATACTTATAGTGTATAATATTTGTTCTTATTATTAACGTACATAAATTACAAAGTTAGTAAAATACACATATCGTAATTTAGACAGCTATATTATTATAAATAATCTAGGTGACTAATGCATTAAATTCTTTACTTCATAAATAAATACCGGTTATTTTACATATTTACTTATTCTACTTGTATATAGGTACATATTTTATTAATAATTGTTCATATAGTACATCTTACATTATACATTTATGTAGTAATAAAATTCATTGGTCATATTAGTACAATCATTCAATGGTTATTTGGTAAAATACATTTCTAACATTACAAATATCAACCTTACATAAATATTTAAATCATTGGAATCATAATTATTAGGGTGCTATTAATTACATAACATTATAATATTAAATTCTGTGTAAAACAGACATATGTATTTTATAATTAGGGTAGCTTTAAATTTCTCTTATAGGTGATAGGTTACATTGACATTGACCTACTGACTGTGACATTGACCTATTGACATTGACAGCCATTTTTTATTTGTTTACATTCTACATAGTTCCATAACTTAACATTATCAAAACACTTGCACTTGACTTTCCATTTCTATTTCTCCTCAGCATTTCTTTCCTTGTAACTTGACTTTAATTAATGAAGGTAAACTGATTGCTCATGACTTGCTTGATTTTCATTTAACCTTATCGTTCCAGTATTTGATTGTTTTTGTTTTCTTGTATTTTCATTTCTGAAGAGGTTTGAAAAGTTTCAGTTGGGTATTTCTTTTGGACTTGGATTTTCGGTGTTAATTTTGATATATATTCTGGTTTTGTTGTTGTGACTTCAACTTTGTAGATTGTTTTCGGTAGCGAATTTCACATTCCAGTCCAAAAATTTTGTTTGATTTTGATTTTCACTTAGATATTTTCATCTACATTTTGATTTTGATTTTCACGTAGATATTTTCATCTACATGGTGTGTAATGTGAATTTCCAAATTTTTTTTAGGTCATTTATTTGGTATTTATTCATTTATATTTTGTTGTTACATCGGTGCTTAGTTTACACAATGGCAGAAGCAAATGCAAATGAAGACGCAACTCGTTCAATTACTAATGAATTAAAAGTGGTAATGTTGCAATTAAATTTGGAAATGCAACATGAAGTTTTGTAAGGATGTACTAGTATATGGCCCTTTGATTGATACTCGTCCTCATCAATCTTCATCCCGTCTTCATTAGCCCAGGTTAGGAGCAGAACAGTAGGACGTTAAACTCCATTTCATTTCATATCAATCTTCATCTTTGTTAAATTTGTCATGCACGGTTTCAACTCCAAGGTGCTCACACAACTTCCACTGTTAGAAATTCTACTTCGCGAAGAACCCCAAGATCAGGCAATGAGACTTTTTATGTTAATTCCACACCATCATCGATTGAGATGTCAACCATCAAATTTTCAGAATACAACACCAGTGCAGAGTTATCCGGCATCAGCATCTTCTGTTTCCATACCCCATACACTACAGCAAAATTCTTCATCTGTTCAAATGAATCCAATTACTACATTTCAAAGATCTTCTTCAGTTTCCAGATTTGAAATGCCCACTTGTTCATACTTGCCTTTTTCATCTTCACCACGATTATCTTCATTTTCCGGAGACAGCAACAAAGGAGACGTTTCTTATCAATGGCGTCTGGAGATTGTCGGATTGGAGAGAGAAGGCCAATATTCTATCCCATCTATTATTAATGCCATTCGTAGAGCCGCACGAGGTACAGCTGCTGAATTTTTAATTGGTATTAATCCTCAAACAATAACTGATTTATTTATGCACTTTGACCCATTATTTGTTGATATTTTATCTGTAGATGTCTTGATGAATAAACTATACACTGCAAAGCAGCAGGAAAATCCATTTCCTCATGGGCATGTAAAATCAAACATATTCTTTCAAAATTAATTAATGCTGGTATTCTAGTTGAACATTCTTCAAATAAGATATTGAAGGACAGATTTTGGCATGGCCTGATCAATTCACAAGTCAAATCTAATACTAGGCACATTCTTGATGCTGATGTTTCATTTTCAGTTTTAATGACTGCAGTTAGGAAAGCTGAAGAAGAGATGCATAATTTCCAGTCACTTCTAATTTCGCTAGTTCTGGGTAATCATTTTATTTAACATCTACAACTTCAAGTTCTTCACACACTTTTCAAAATAAAATTCTTCAGCAGATTTCCGGTTTGTCAGAGCAATTGAAAACAGTTAATTCTCGTATATCTGATATGGAGCACCAGATGCAGCAACCACGACAGAGGTACTATAGACAGCCACCTACACAGTTCAATTCTTCGAATATGAGAGATCCACCTCGTCAAGTTCATGTTCCTCCTCCTCCTTTGTTCAATCCCACATTTCGCCCACCGAATCAGTTTTTAAATACAAGCGATTATCGTCCCAGGGTAACTCCTATTTGTTACGCTTGTCAACAACCTGGTCACAGAAGAGGGGATCGAGTGTTCTTTAAACTCGCAAGGACTTATTCCACGGGGCGGTCGGTAAGTCCTAATGTTTCTTGTCAACAGAATGCCTCATCTTTTATTTCCGATTTAGTTGGTTCATCGAACGTTGCTCATATTTTAATTAATGATATTTTATGTTCTGCATTATTGGATTCCGGTTCAATGGTTTCTACCATTTCTGCTGATTTTCATCGTCGTTTTTTACCTAATTTTCAAATTTACCCGCTTAACGATTTATTAGAAGTTCGTACCGTAGGAGGGATTAAAGTTTCATACTTATGATATATTTCAGTTCCTGTTAGAATTCCTGATAGTAGTGAACATTTGCAAGATTTAATTTTAGTTGTACCTACAAATTCTTTTAATTCTAAGACTCCAATGTTATGTAACACATCAACAGATTCAGATGTTTGGAATTCCACATTTTCACTTTTAACTACACAAGTTCAATCTAGTAAAGTTCCTTGTTTTTTAAAGTCCAGTTCAAATCCGGTGAAGATTCCTGCAAATTCGTCAATGCTTGTGGCTGGTACTTCAAAATTAACTAAACCATTACCCGGTAAATGTTATATGGCGCTAGATGATATATCACTTCCTGGTTCTCTTCATGTTGTTCCTGGTATAGTTAAATGTAATTTTACAGTCATCTAATAAAGTGAGAATTAACATCACAAATTCTTCAGACAGACCCATTACTATTCCTGGTAAAGCAGTTCTTTGTCAACTTCAGCAAGTTGAAGTCGTAAATAATTCTCCATTTTTATCATCAAATAATTCTTCAGTAAAGCCGTTTGATGATTTGTTTAATTTTCAGTCTATTCATTCAAAATGTACAGAAGAAGCTAACCAACTTAAAGATCTTTTACATAGTTATAAAGACGTTTTCAAATAGTCCCTTTGCTTCTCCAGTAGATCTTGTTCGAAAAAAAGACGGTTCACTACGTTTCTGTGTGGACTACCGAAAACTAAATTCCAGAACTGTCCATGATTCATATGCACTTCCCAGGATAGAAGAGACTCTTGATTCGCTTCATGGTTCTAAATATTTTTCTTCATTAGATTTAAAAAGTGGGTACTAGCAGATAGAAATGGCTGAAGAAGATAAACCCAAGACAGCATTTACAACTGGCAATTTAGGCTTTTGGGAGTTTAATGCTATGCCCTTCGAATTAACCAACGCGCCTAGTTCTTTCCAGCGTTGTTTAGAGCGGTGTATGGCGGATATTCATCTGTTTCATTGTCTTACATATATAGATGACATTATTGTTTTTTCCAAAACATTCGAGGAACATCTTATTCGTTTAGGGTCCGTATTTTCTCGTCTCAGGAAGCATATTATTTCAGAAGATGGTGTAAAAGCTGACCCTGACAAAATTTCTACACTTAAGAACTGGCCGATTCCTTCAAATGTTTCTGAAATTCGTAGCTTTTTAGGTTTTTGTGGTTATTTTATAAGATACATTAAAGATTACTCAAGGATAGCTAAACCTTTAACTGCTTTATCAAGACTTCCAGTTTCAAGTCTAGATAATACAGTTGTATCTGCTATAATTAATTTCACTGACGTTGATCTTGGTAAAATTGAAACTTTTTCTTTTAGTCAGAATGTTCTAGATTGTTTTGTTTCTTTTATTATTAGTGTTCCTGTGGAATATTCAAATTTAATGGATAAGTCAAAAGTTTACAAGGCACAACAAGATTGTGTAGGGATTCAGTTTATAATTCAAGCAGTTAGAAATGGATGTAAACCTACTGATTTTCATGGTGTTGATAAGGATACAGCTGCTATACTTTGTTCCTGGGATAACTTAATTATAAAAGATATTTTATATAGAAAGTTTTCATCTTCATCTGACCCTATTTTACAAATTGTATTACCTGTTTCTCTTCGTCGTCTGGTATTGTCTGCACTTCATGACAATTTGGGTCATATGGGTAGAGATCGAACCTTGGATTTGGTTAAATCTCGAGTTTATTGGCCACATATGTGTAGAGATGTAGAAAATTATGTTCGTATATGTGACAGATGTATCCGTCGAAAGTCTCCCCAACAGAATATTCGTGCTCCTTTAGTCGGTATTTCAACATCAGAACCTTTACAACTAGTCTGCACTGATTTTCTTTCTTTGGAACCATCTAAAGGTGGTATTGAGAATATTTTAATTATAACGGATCATTTCACAAAGTTTGCTGTAGCAGTACCAACAAAAAACCAGACCGCTAAAACCACCGCTAAAATCTTAATACAACATTTCTTCTTACCATATGGCATTTTTTCACAACTTCATTCTGATCAGGGTCGAAATTTTGAATCGAATATTATTAAAGTATGCAGTATCTTAGGTATAAATAAATCTAGAACAACACTATCATCCCATGGGTAATGGGTTATGTGAGCGTTTTAACAGAACTTTATTAAATATGCTTGGTACACTCACAGAAGATCAGAAAGTTCACTGGAAAGACTCTCATTTTTAGTATATGTATATAATTCAACAAAATAGGAGTCCACTTCTTATTCTCCTTTTTATCTCATGTTTGGTAGAAATCCAAAACTTCCGGTGGATATAATTCTTGGTGACAATTATTCTTCTGATATCAATTCTTCATACACACAATTTGCTTCTCAGCTGCAAGATAAATTCAATTTGGTTAATGAAATTGCTAAACAAAACATAGAAAAGGCTCAACATAGACAAGTTTCACTATGATACAAAAGTTAAAGGCGCTAACCTTCATTATGGAGATATTGTTTTGGTAAGAAATGTTCAAATTAGAGGTAAAAATAAATTGGCTGATAAGTGGGAAAATATTTGTTATACTGTTGTTTCACAGCCTGATTTCAGCATTCCAGTTTACACTGTTCAAAAAGATGGCACTTCCGAAAGACGCACCCTTCACAGAAATCTTCTCTTACCTATTTGTTCGTCAGGGCGCCCTATTCCAGCTCCCCGATCTAAAGTGTCACTTGATACTACTTTGTCAATTGATTGCAGTATTTCTGAAGAACCTATAACTCGGGTCAGTACTAGTGATGTAAATAGTGATGTCATTCCTCTTTCTGATGTAAGTAGTGGTGTTTCTCAGTCTTCTGATGCAGATGGGTCTGTGGTTAATATTAACGATAGTAATTTGGTTTCTGATGGTCACTGTTCTACTGATATTAATATTTCTTTGCAAAAAGCTCCCGATATTTTACCACCGGATATTTCTATTCCAGTTGTGTCAGATTCTCATTCGTCAGAAAGTCCTGTTCCTTTAAAACGTCAACGAAAACCATCGGGATGGATGAAATCGGATGCTTGGGTTTTAGGGAATACTGTTTGGGTTTGATTTTCAGTGACTATATCTACTTTTATAATTGATTTCTGCATTATTAATTAGGTTGGTTATATTACAAATGTATGTAGTTGCTTACAGTTTTAGGTGATGACGACTTGGATTTGTTTATGGATTATGATTTGGTTATTTGGTTTTTGTATTATATGTATATTGTTGTTTTTATTAAGGTGGATCATAGACTGGTTAGGACGCCACTTCTTGTGCTGGGGGGATAGTGTAGTAGGGTGCTATATTCTCTTTAACTATTTTAGTAGGGTGTTATATTCTGTTTAAAGATTTTAGTCAGTTTCCATTGTCCTGTTTATCCAGCTAGCCTTGTATTTCCAGTAGTTATAATTACTTTAGTTTAGTTTAAAGATGCTGTTGTAAGATAGTGAGTAGATTTAAGTGTCTTAGAAACCTGCTTTGTTTATCCTAGTTACTAACTTCACTCTTTTATTTTCTGGTCAACTATCAACATCTCTATTTAATTACAGCACAATTAATCATTTATTTCAAGGTACTGCTGAAATGCAGTAGGGTAGTGTAAAAAATGCAGTAGAAACCATGATTTGGCAGATTCCCAAAAAAGCGTAAATTTGCACTTCCAAGGGTAATTAATTTAGAAATGATACGCTGAACTGCAGGTCCAACAATTAACAATACAAAAATTGCATTAAATGGGTAATTAGATAAAATGTACACAAACAATGGTAACCATATCTTATCTAAAATTATTTATCATTAGGCCTATGTAATTAAACCAAAATTGAATATGTAGCCTATAGAAAGAAATAATTAGTAACTACTGGCAGTAGGCCTACCACTGCCACTTCTCTTTTGTTTTAACTTAGCTGTCTGTGTTAGTGTTAGCATGATTTTAAAAATATCTTGATTCCTTGTGACGTACGTGCGACGTACCACTGCCACTGTAAATTGGTCGCTATTTGTTTAGTTTATCGCTACGCATTTTAAGAGTATTTGGAACACGTGCCAATAATTATATCCGCTTTATTAACTCTAAAATAGGTTGAAAAGAATTTGAGAAAAAATCTTAGCTAAATTACACCTTACAATATCCCAAATCGATGTTAATAACCGAAAGTCGCAATCATTATTGTTTACATGCAAAGAGTTGCTTCCCTTAGTTCCATAGTTTTGGCGAGAATATTAAAAAACTCTTTGTTTGAAAATGCGGTAGATATCTCTTACCGGGCAGTAGAGCGGTACATGAGGCCTTTTCGCGGCACTTTACTGCGTGATGCGGTAGAGTTGACAGGTCTGCTGGTTATCATTGCTGATAGATTCACCTATGCTTTGTTTTTTCCCCACAGTTCTTGGAAAATATGGGCATGTCTTGTACATGTGTGGTTAATATATCCATATTTTGAGCCCTACAACATAAAGAACAGGTGAAGTTCTGATTGCTTGATGACTATGCTGATGATACATCGGTCAGGTATGTAAATGTTCTTAATTTTTTTATGATCAGGCTAAAGTTCAAGAAGCTACAGGGTTTTTTATATGCCCACATTTTCATGTGGAAGTATATTGTCGTCGCCCCTGTCTGTCCATCCGTCCACAATTGTTTGTGGACACTCTACATGTCACAATTTTTATTCTATTTCAACGAAACTTGAATTATAGGTTTATCTCGCTAAGATGTCGGTTCCTTTCGATATTGGCATGTATCGAACCGTAACTCCATGGATTCTGGCCCCTGATTGTATGAAAAATCACGTTTTTAGCTTGAGCTCCCTCTAGAGGTCACAATTATTATCTGATTTTAAAAAAAAGTTAAAAAATATCACCGTTACATCGTAATTCTGGCTCAGTTTGAATTTCGTGAAAATCGGACTAAAACCGACGGACAAAATGGACGCCCCTCGTACGCAAATAGTGTGTAACATCTGATATTTCAAAGTTGTTGACCGTCTAGAGGTCACAATTTTGATCCGATTTTGATGAAACTTGAAATACATGTTTATAACCCAAAGAAATTGGTTCCTTTTGATATTCATTTGAAAATCGAAATGAAACCACTAGACAAAATGGGCGCTCTTTGTACGCAAATTGTGTAAAAGTATAATATGCAAAGGTTGTCGAAGGTTATGGCCCCTGATTGTACGGAAAATACCTTTTTAGCTTGTAGTCCCTGTAGAGGTCACAATTTTGTCTGATTTAAAAAAAAAAAAAAAAAGATGTGTGAATATATCACCATTACACGCTAAAATCTTGGATCCGTTTGATAATCACGGATACCCAAACTTAACTTCCTGGATTATGGCTCCTGATTGTTCGAAAAATCGCATTTTTAGCTTGCAGATTTTCTAGAGGTCACAATTTTTTTCCGATTTTAAAAACCGTTCAAATATTTCACCATTTCACCATAATGAAGGTTGAATTTGAATTTCGGGAAAATTGAAATGAAACTGCCCAACAAAATTGTGTAAAAGTATATTGTCTACCCTTTAGCGGTCACAATTTTTATCCGATTCTGATGCAACTTAAAACATATCTTTATATCCCAAAGATCTTCTCAGTCCCTTTTGATATTTGCGCATTTCAGACCATAACTTTCTGGATTATTGCCCCTGATTGTACAAAAAATCCTGTTTGTTTTTAGCTTGTTCTCTATCCATCTCTTGCAAACTGTGGGCGTAGCCTGCCTGGCAGCTGGTGGTCATCAATTGATATAGAAAACCATTTATATCTTATTTCCAAAACCGTTCAAATGTGTCGGCATTACATCATAATTATGAATTTCCTGAAAATCGGACTGAAACTTTCAGTCAAATGGCAACTCTCCATACAATACCAAGGTTATGGACCATTTAGAGATCAAAAGTTTTATCCGATACTTAAAACGAGTATCACTAGCTCTTGCATAAGTTCAATTTTTGTGCCCATTTCAATATCCCCTACTTTTTTTTGAAGAGTATATATTATTGGCATACTTATTCAACAAGGACGTTACTCAAATATCTTATTTTTAAAGATAGGGCATAAATGGTCTAACAATTAATTTTATTTGCACAAACCAGTGAGGTGTTACATAGAAATAGAATTTTTTAATACAACTGTCTTAGTGCTAGGTTCCAACTATCACGATTCGCGCCAGGAAAACGAGTCTGTGTTCGTCAAATTTTACAAATTATCTTGGGGGGGGGGGGGCTGTTCGCAAACAACCGGCTGTACCATTTGTAACCAGAAATATTTTGGGGGGCATTTCAGGTTCTGTTCCGCTTACATTCATCGAGCCCGTATGCTTTTGCTCACAACTGGGGGTCTCTTAACCTAGGGATCAGCATAGAGCATAATAGGGTTTTCATCTGAAGTTCTACATACTAAAAGTCTCATGTTAAAATCAGACCTGTTGTATCTAACAGTATAATTACTTGCGTTCAATAACTCGGAGAAAAGAATGATTGCGGCCAAATTAGCTTGCGGACACTCAAGGGGTCAATCTTTATCGGATTTTGATGGAACTTGGAATTCGTGTTTATAACCCAAAGATCTTGGTGCCCTTGAATATTTGCATATATCGGATCGTAACTTCCTGAATTATGGCCCTTGATGGTACGAAAAATCGTGTTTTTAGCTTGTGGTCAATCTTGAGGGCACAATTTTTATCCGATTTCAAAAAACGTTTGAATGTATCACCGTTACACCCTAATGATGGTTGACTTCGAATTTTGTGAAAATCGGACCAAAACTGTCAGAAAAAATAGCCGCCACCCCCCCCCCCCCCCCATGTGCAAATGTTGTAAACATTTGGTATATCAAGGTTATGGACCTCTAAAGGTCACAATTACACCCTAATGATGGTTGTTGACTTCTAATGGCCACCCCCCTCGTATGCAAATAGTGTAAATATATGGTATATCAAGGTTGTGGACCCTCTAGTGGCTGCAATTTTGATCCGATTGTGAAATACATGTTTATAACCCAAGGATCTTGGTTCCTCTTGATATTTGCGCATATTTCCTGAATTATGACCCTTGATTATACGAAAAATCACGTTTTTAGCTTGTGGTCTCTCTAGGGGCCACAATTTTTATCCGATTAAAAGTTTGAATATATCATTGTTACACCCTAGTGATGGTTGAGTTCGAATTTTGTGAAAATCAGGCCAAAACTGCTGGACAAAATGGTTGCCCCTTGTACGCAGATAGTGTAAATTATATGGTATATTAAGATTTTGGAGCTTCTAGAGGCCACAATTTTGATCCGATGTTGATGAAACTTTAAATTTATATTGATATCAGAATGATTTGGTTCCATTCGGTAATTGCATATACCGATTTAAAAAAAAAACGATTGAATATATTACCTTTACACACTAATGTAATGGTTGAGTTCGAATCACATAAAAATTGAACCAAAACTGCCGGACATAATGATCGCACCTCGTACACAAATAGTATAAATATATGGTATATCAAGGTTGTGGACCCTCTAGTGGCTGCAATTTTGATCCGATTGTGAAATACATGTTTATAACCCAAGGATCTTGGTTCCTCTTGATATTTGCGCATTTCGGATCGTAACTTCCTGAATTATGACCCTTGATTATACGAAAAATCACGTTTTAAGCTTGTGGTCTCTCTAGGAGCCACAATTTTTATCCGATTTAAAGTTTGAATATATCTTTGTTACACCCTAGTGATGGTTGAGTTCGAATTTTGTGAAAATCAGGCCAAAACTGCTGGACAAAATGGTTGCCCCTTGTACGCAGATAGTGTAAATTATATGGTATATTAAGATTTTGGAGCCTCTAGAGGCCACAATTTTGATCCGATGTTGATGAAACTTTAAATTTATATTGATATCAGAATGATTTGGTTCCATTCGGTAATTGCATATACCGATTTAAAAAAAACCGATTGAATATATTAACTTTACACCCTAATGTAATGGTTGAGTTCGAATCACATAAAAATTGAACCAAAATTGCCGGACATAATGATCGCACCTCGTACACAAATAGTATAAATATATGGTATATCAAGGTTGTGGACCCTCTATAAGTCACAATTTTATCCGATTTTGGTGAAACTTGAAATATATCGTTATAACCCAAAGATCTTGGTTCCTTTCGATATTCGTGCATGTCGGATTGTAACTTCCTGAATTTTTAGCTGGTGGTCAAAATTTTTATCCCATTTCGATGAAACTTAAATTATATCTTTATATCCCAAATATCGCAGATCCTCTCAATATTCGCGCATTTCAGACCATAGCTTCCTGAATTATGGGCCCTAATTGTACGAAAAATCGCTTTCTCTATCCATCTCTTGCAAAATGTGGGCGTATCTTGCTTGGCAACTTCTGGTTCTCTTTTCTAATTCAGTTATAAACTGCCACATTTTGACTTCATTTTTCCACTGCTCACATATGAATTATTCTTATGCAATGCTGGAGGATTCTTTAAACTATTAGAGGCCATACTAGGCTTTGGTGAAAGACTATTGTTACTACTAAGATTATTAGTATTTATACTACTACTACATGGTATAAAAACTACTGTTTTTGTTCAGATTATTAGTTTTACCTAGTATAAAAACTATTATTTTTGTTCGGATTATTAGTTTTACGTAGTATAAAGATAGGTTGCCAGGCAACGAAACATACGCCCACAGCAGCTAAATCGTCCGGGCAGTAAACAAGAGTTGTCACATATGTTTATATCAAGATTCATTGAAAATCAATATACTTGTTTGTCTCAAGACTTTAAACTCTGTGTATCAATCTGAAGTCAATCGGATAACTTTAGCCTCTAGAGCGTCACAAGATTTTTCAAAGTGATCAAGGGCCATAACTCTTGCAGTAATTATCGGAAATCGTTGAAAATCAATGATTCTTCGTCTCATGACCTCAAACACTGTGTATCAATTTAAAGTCAATTGGATATTAACTTTAGCCTACAGAGCATTTACAAGATTTTTTGAAGTGATCAAGGGCCATAACTCTGGCAGTCATCATCAACTTTGACCTCTAGAGCACCCACCCATTTTGAAGTGATAAAGGGCCATAACTCTGGCAGTAATTATCGGAAATCACTGAACATCAATAGGCTTGTTCGTCTCATGACCTTAAACACTGTGTATAAATTTAAAGTCAATCGGATATTAACTTCAGCCTCTAGAGCATCCACAAGCAATTTCAATGTGGGCGTATAAAAACTATTGTTTTTGTTCAGATTATTATTTTTTTTCTCATGTGTTTGGAAAAAGTACATGTTCTACAAAATAAAACTCTATACCATCCGAAAGGTATTTAGTTCAAAAGGTGAATAACTAAAACTTTGAAAATGATAACAGGAAGTGATGTCATCAACGACAATAGACCTATATTAGACATCAGAGAGAATTTTTTCGTTTTTCAACCAATTTGGATGCGACTTTCACTAATTTGTAACTGTTCATATTTCTCGGCTTTTATGTCGAGACATTGACTACTCTGACGCATGCCTTGGCAGTTGGAATTCGATATAAGAGTAGGCCGTAGTGCCGCTGTCCGGGCAAAATTTCCCTCATAGCACACTGTATGGCGTATGCCCGTCTTCATTAGCCCAGGTTAGGAGCAGAACAGTAGGACGTTAAACTCCATTTCATTTCATTTCTCTGACGCATGCATATGGCCCAATTTGATTAAGCCAAAAATGTCAACAAAAACTTTTCGATTATCTCCCCTTTGAAGATGTTAGATTTCCAACTTCTTTAAACATACATACACTATGCAAGAGCTAAAACTGCCTATTGCAGGTCTTTCGGCCTGAAATGTTATCTAAATTCTTAATTAGACATTTATTAACAAAACAAGCTCAAAATCAACTAGCTTGCAATGTTTATTGGATTAGGCTCCGATTTCCTGTTCGACATCCATTCATAATTTAATCATTAAATGGATAATTGAGACTATGTTTTTTATCGTACCGACTTTAGTAATAATGATCGAGGCTAGGCCAAAAGTTCTATCGCTAAAATCTTTTTATGAAGGGATCAATTTGACTGAAATTTTCAGCAAATTCCCTTTACATTATCTAGTTTTTATACCCTTACATTTTCATATGGACACTCTAGAGATCACAATTTTCACCCAATTTGATGAAACTCGAAATGCATGTTTATAACCCAAAGATTTTGTTTCCTTTCGACATTTGTGCATATCAGATCGTAACTTGCTGAACTTGGTCCCTGATTGTATGAAAAATCGCGTTTTTAGCTTGTGGTCCCTCAAGAGTTCACAATTATTATCTGATTTAAAAAAACGTTTGAATATGTCACCGTTACACCATATTGTTGGTGGTTGAGTTCGAATTTCATGAAAAACGGACCAAAACTGTCAGACAAAATGCCCCCCCCCCCCCATGTGCAAATGTTGTAAACATTTGGTATATCAAGGTTATGGACCTGTAAAGGTCACAATTTTGACCGGATTTTAATGAAACTTGAAATACATGTTTATAACCCAAATATCTTGGTTTCTTTCGAAATTCGCACATATCGCATCGTAACTTCCTGAATTATGGCCCTTGATTGTATGAAAAATCACATTTTTAGTTTGTCCCACTAGAGGTCAAAATTTGTATCCAATTAAAAAAAACCACATGTGAATGTCACAATTTTGATCCAATTTTGATGAAACTTGAAATGCATGTTTATAACACAAAGATCTTGGTTCTTTTCGATATTCGCACATATCTGATTGTACTTTCTTGAATTATGGTCCTTGATCGTAAGAAAAATAACGTTTTTAGCTTGTGGTCCCTTAATTTAAAAATTAGTCACAATTGTGATCCGATTTTGATGAAACTTGAAATACATGTTTATAACCCAAAGATCTTGGTTACTGTCAATATTTGTGCATATCAGATCGTAACTTCCTGGATTATGTCACCTGATTGTATGAAAAATCGTGTTTTTAGCTTGCGGACCCTCTAGAGGTCACAATTCTTACCTGATTTAAAAAAACGTTTGAATATATCACCTTTTCACGGTGATGTTTGTTGAGTTCGAATTTCATGAAAATTGGGCCAAAACTGTCGGACAATATGCAAATAGTGTAATGAAACGTGAAAAGCTAAAGTAATTTTAGTTTAAATATATCATTTGTGTGGAAATTACCACTGTTCGGTTTGTTGTGCCGTATTATTTATCAATATGGAGATTTCTGTTTTATGGATATTGCTATTGAAGGTAAGATGCTCAATCTACGCATCGTGGCACGTTTTTATAAATTTAATATATTTCAAACGGTGAGTGCGCGTCTTTTAATAATAAAGCAGAAATATAGTTCGGTTGTTTTTGCTGAATTTACTCTCTATATTCCCGTGGATATTCAAATTGGGCTCTGACTGGTCGGTATTGATAAATGACAACATAATATTCGCCTTTCCGTATACGATAGATTAAGGCCCATATTTTTATTTCATTAAATGAAACTTATAGTATGCAATACAAAAGGGTTCAACGTAGTTCATAGCGAGCACACACGCCTATCTAAAGACCTGTCTTTAATTATACAAAGACCTACGTAAAACACACGGTCGAATGATAAATCGCACGGTAAAACAGTTTTACTTCCCAAATTTTGATTTAACACGTACGTGTCAGATAAAGCCTGTTGGTCCTTGATTATACTCGCCAATTAAACAATACACAACATTGACATTCATTTTTTACCGGTCGGTTAATTAACACACCTCTACTGAAAACGCGCCGTCGCACAGTTTTTCACCCCTATCGTTAATTAACTCACCTCTCAGACAGTTTTTCACCCTCGTTAATTAACACACCTTATTTACAGTTTTAACGCGGTAATGCCGAGTAATAGTCGGAAAATTAATTTTCTTTCGATAGACGTAGAGATAACGCCCAAGACATAATTTTCTATAAGGGCTGTGCACAGATTGACCACTTAGTAGTTCTCAGTGATAGCAGTCATAATTTTTATCCGATTTAAAACAAAACCTTTGAATATATCACCACCATTACAACCTCAGTATAGTTGAGTTCCAATTTCGTAAAAATCGTACCAAAACTGACCAACAAAATGGCAGCCCCTCGTACTCAAATAGCCTAAAAATATGATATATCAAGGTTGTGGACACTTTGGAGGTCACAATTTTTATCCAATTTTGTTGAAACTTGAAATGTAAGTTTATAACCCAAAGATCTCGGTTCCTTTTGATAATCACGCATATCGGACCGTAAATTCATGAATTATGGCCCCTGATTTTACGTAAAATCGCGTTTTTAGCTTGTAGACCCTATAGAGATCAGAATTTTTATCCGATTTTGTTGAAACTTGAAATGTAAGTTTATAACCCAAAGATCCCGGTTCCTTGCGCAGTTGACGATAAATAGGCAAGTTTGCATGCGTCATTTTTCACATTATTTTGCCTGTAGTATCACCGGAAGTTTAAGTCTCATTTTGGCAAAAACTGTATTTTTATACGCCCACATTTTCATGTGGACATATATTGTTGTCGCCCCTGTCCGTCTGGACATCCGTCCGTCCACCATTTGTTTGTGGACACTCTACAGGTCACAATTCTTATCCGATTTTGACGAAACTTGAAATATAGGTTTATCACCAAAAGATCTCGACTGCTTTCGATATTGGCATGTATCGGATCGAAACTTCATGAATTATGGCCTCTGTACGAAAAATCACGTTTTTAGCTTCTGGACCCTAGGGTGCATAATTTTATCTGATTTTAAAAAAAGTTTTCATATATCACCGTTACACCCTAAGAATGGCGGAGTTCGAAGTTCGTGAAATAGCGCAAAAATATGGTATTTCAAGGTTGTGGACCCTAAAGAGGTCACAATTTTTATCCGATTTTGTTGAAACTTGAAATGTAAGTTTATAACCCAATTATCTGTTTCTATCGATATCCGCGCATATCGGATTGTAACTTCCAGAATTATGGCCCTTGATTTCAGACCATAATTTTCTGGATTATTGCCCCTGATTGTACAAAAAATCCCGTTTGTTTTTAGCTTGTTCTCTATCCATCCCTTGCAAAATGTGGGCGTATCCTGCCTGGCAGCTACTGGTTATTTTGAGCAAAGAAATTGGTTACTAAAAATAGACTACTTTCAATTCATTTTATTTATCGAAGGCTCGGATTACCTACATGATGCCACAGCACAGAGTATAAATATTTTTAATCTGTGGCCACAGTAACTTACAAATTTTCTCCTTTCTCTCAAAATATTCACAAAATAGAGTTCCGACAAAGACAATTTAAATTCCATAAGTTACACTTTACCAGCAAATTATAATATTTGCAACATACTCTTACTGATATATGTCAAACACTATGCCACATAATATGACACATATAAAAGCAAATTATAGTCTGCAAAGGATGAAGGTCATTTGCGCTGTCTTGGAAAGTACGAATTATATTTAATGGGTGATCAGAAAGAAAATGCAATGGTTGGGGCTTTAAAAAATATATAGGTGTGTAAATAATTGATCTCCCACAATTTGTATTCGGTTAGGAGGTTCGATCAACCGGGCGATTTTTCATGCTCCAGTGATAGGTCAACAGGGCATGACTGGAGTGTGGAGAAGGAGGACTTGAAATACCAAAATGGCTAAAGCACATGCGAGTACATGCATGTGTACATTTGTCTTGATGGTTGTTGTACACACCATGGGACAATAGTTGCGTGTGATAAGTAACGTCAAAAAGTTCAAATAATTCTTGTATAACCGCGATTGTGGGACATTTTGCAAAATGAAATGGGGTTTAACGTCCTACTGTTTTGCTCCGAACTGGACAAATGAAGACAGGCATATGCCATACAGTGTGCTATGAGGTAAATTTTGCCCGGACAGCGGCACTACGGTCTACTCTTATATCGAATTTCAACCCCCAAGGGATCTTTTACGTGCACGCCAATGTGTACACGGGACCTTGGTTTTTTTAACCATTCGAACGACTAGACTGCTGTCCTTGTCGTGCATCACTGACTAGGGGGAACCACGCCAGAAAATGTGGATGAACTTCCTCGGCCAATGCAGGGATCAAACACCCGACCTCCAGACTAGCGAGCCAGCGTCTTAACCACTTAGACACCGTGATCCCCCCTGGATATTTTCACCATAAATTAACACCTCAGTGATCACAAGATGAGTTTAAAGGGCGAGTGGTAGCAAAAAAAATGGTCTGTGAGTAATGTATTTTATTGTAGACTTTTGTATCCAAGAGCCATTGTTCTTGTTTTTGAAATAATTTTTTCATCTTTTCAGGTGTTGTGACAAAATGGTGTAACTTTACCTTGCCCTTAATTCCTGAAAGATCTGAACATGAGTGTTGGGCATTCATGTTTGATGTGACTCCCATTTAAGTGTCTCAATATTTCATTGTTGTGGCACCACAGAAAGTAAATAACAATTTCAGTGTTTTCCACAAATTAAGTTTGTGGCAGTATGGATGTTGTGACTCCTTTTCTTGTATAGTGAAAATGGGACTCATTGGTTTTAATCTTTAACCCCTCACCCTGAATTTATAGGTTTTAATCTTAAATACCTAACCCTAATCCAAATAGAAAGTAGGAAGTTCCATATTCAAAAATGGCGGGCGATGGTATCCTGGGCTATCCTGACTTGGTAAAGGTTGTTCTGGCTTTATAACTGTTGAATGTAAGCTCATCCGTTCTGGCTTGGTAAAGACGGTCAAAAATATCCTAAACAGTCCTGGATTAAAACAATCCTGATAGTATCCCATGCTTTCCTGCCTTAAACAATGCTGATAGTATGCTAAGCTCATCTGGCTTGGTGAAATTGGGCGATATTTTCCTAAGGCGTGAAATAATACTGATTGTAGCCCAAGCCTTGCGGGCTTGATAAAAATGGCGGACGATGGTATCCTAAGTTGTCCTGGCTTGGAAAGGGTTGATTATATCCCAAATGGTTCTGGCTTTATAAATGGTGAATGTGGCTCAACAGTTCTGCCTTGGTAAATATGGTCGATAGTATCATAACCTGTTCTGGCTTGACACAATCTTGATAGTTTCCCATGCTTTCTTGGCTTGAAACAATCCTGATAGTATGCTAAGCTGATCTGGCTTGGCGAAATTGGCGATAGTTTCCTAAGGCATGAAACAATCCTGATTGTAGCCCAGGCTTTACGTGGTTGATACAAATGGCGGGCGATGGTATCCTAAGCTGTCCTGGCTTGGAAAGGGTTGATTATATGCCAAATGGTTCTCGCTTTATAAATGTTGAATGTAGCTCAACAGTTCTGCCTTGGTAAATATGGTCGATAGTATCCTAACCTGTTCTGGCTTGACACAATCTTGATAGTTTCCCATGCTTTCTTGCCTTGAAACAATCCTGATAGTATGCTAAGCTGATCTGGCTTGGCGAAATTGGCGATAGTTTCCTAAGGCATGAAACAATCCTGATTGTAGCCCAAGCTTTACGTGGTTGATACAAATGGCGGGCGATGGTATCCTAAGCTGTCACTGATTGGAAAGGGTTGATTATATGCCAAATGGTTCTCGCTTTATAAATGTTGAATGTAGCTCAACAGTTCTGCCTTGGTAAATATGGTCGATAGTATCATAAACTGTTCTGGCTTTACACAATCTTGATAGTTTCCCATGCTTTCTTGCCTTGAAACAATCCTGATAGTATGCTAAGCTGATCTGGCTTGGCGAAATTGGCGATAGTTTCCTAAGGCATGAAACAATCCTGATTGTAGCCCAAGCTTTACGTGGTTGATACAAATGGCGGGCGATGGTATCCTAAGCTGTCCTGGCTTGGAAAGGGTTGATTATATGCCAAATGGTTCTGGCTTTATAAATTTTGAATGTAGCTCAACAGTTCTGCCTTGGTAAATATGGTCGATAGTATCATAAACTGTTCTGGCTTGACACAATCTTGATAGTTTCCCATGCTTTCTTGCCTTGAAACAATCCTGATAGTATGCTAAGCTGATCTGGCTTGGCGAAATTGGCGATAGTTTCCTAAGGCATGAAACAATCCTGATTGTAGCCAAAGGTTTACGTGGTTGATACAAATGGCGGGCGATGGTATCCTAAGCTGTCCTGGCTTGGAAAGGGTTGATTATATGCCAAATGGTTCTGGCTTTATAAATGTTGAATGTAGCTCAACAGTTCTGCCTTGGTAAATATGGTCGATAGTATCATAACCTGTTCTGGCTTGACACAATCTTGATAGTTTCCCCATGCTTTCTTGCCTTGAAACAATCCTGATAGTATGCTAAGCTGATCTGGCTTGGCGAAATTGGCGATAGTTTCCTAAGGCATGAAACAATCCTGATTGTAGCCCAAGCTTTACGTGGTTGATACAAATGGCGGGCGATGGTATCCTAAGCTGTCCTGGCTTGGAAAGGGTTGATTATATGCCAAATGGTTCTCGCTTTATATATGTTGAATGTAGCTCAACAGTTCTGCCTTGGTAAATATGGTCGATAGTATCATAACCTGTTCTGGCTTGACACAATCTTGATAGTTTCCCCATGCTTTCTTGCCTTGAAACAATCCTGATAGTATGCTAAGCTGATCTGGCTTGGCGAAATTGGCGATAGTTTCCTAAGGCATGAAACAATCCTGATTGTAGCCCAAGCTTTACGTGGTTGATACAAATGGCGGGCGATGGTATCCTAAGCTGTCCTGGCTTGGAAAGGGTTGATTATATGCCAAATGGTTCTGGCTTTATAAATTTTGAATGTAGCTCAACAGTTCTGGCTTTGTAAATATGGTCGATAGTATCCTAACCTGTTCTGGCTTGACACAATCTTGATAGTTTCCCAGGCTTTCTTGCCTTGAAACAATCAAGATAGTATGCTAAGCTGATCTGGCTTGGCGAAATTGGCGATAGTTTCCTAAGGCATGAAACAATCCTGATTGTAGCCCAAGCTTGAAACAATCGTGATAGTATGCTAAGCTGATGTGGCTCAGCCGGTCCTCGGCGGGGCAGTAGGGAACTTTGGCGGAGAATTTGGTTGGGCAAGTTTCTTGAGACGAGTGAGGCGCAGTGGAAGGTTGGCCGGTCTCCTCTTGCTCGGTGCGTACACGGCAGTTGAGTGAAGGCTAGAGAGTGTGTTCATGCAGCTCCCGGTTACCCTTCTCGTCACCATTGTCGCGCCGCTTGCTCTAGGGGAAGGATGGCACCTGAGACTGCGTCCCCCATTCGGATCTCTTGTGGCATGCCCTTTCTTCTCTCTTCTTCGGCCCACGTTTCTCTCTCTCTCTCTCTCGAAGGCAACGAAGCGGTCGGAAGGCGGGGGATCGTTTAGCCCGATCTCTCGTCCAGTCACCGCGCACTTTCGTACGATCCAAGACTGATGGAGACGGTGGAGCGAGGCCGACCCGCGGACGACAACTCCTCGGAGCCTGGTCACAGCTCGCGGAAATGGGTGGTACCTGGCATTCCCTCTTGAGTGCAGTGCTGAGGAGTTAATGGAAGATCTCAAACTTAAATACTATGCTGAGGAGGAGACCCATAGATTTAAGATTAGGCAAGGTATGGTCGAGAAATGAAAGGTATCTGGTTCCTTTGACACTCTCACGGGCGTGAGAAGTTCTCAAACTTATAGTCTATGGTGTGGAGGAGACCCATAGTTTTAAGATTTGAGAAGATATGGTCGAGAAATAAAAAGAGTCTGGTTCCTTTGACACTCTCACGGGCGTGTGAAGTTCTCAAACTTATTCCCTATGGTATGGAGGAGACCCATAGATTTAAGATTTGAGAAGGTATGGTCGAGAAATAAAAGGTGTCTGGTTCCTTTGACACTCTCACGGGCGTGAGAAGTTCTCAAACTTATACCCTATGGTATGGAGGAGACCCATAGATTTAAGATTTGAGAAGATATGGTCGAGAAATAAAAGGTGTCTGGTTCCTTTGACACTCTCACGGGCGTGAGAAGTTCTCAAACTTATAGTCTATGGTGTGGAGGAGACCCATAGATTTAAGATTTGAGAAGGTATGGTCGAGAAATAAAAGGTGTCTGGTTCCTTTGACACTCTCACGGGCGTGAGAAGTTCTCAAACTTATACCCTATGGTATGGAGGAGACCCATAGATTTAAGATTTGAGAAGGTATGGTCGAGAAATAAAAGGTGTCTGGTTCCTTTGAGAAGTTCTCAAACTTATAGCCTATGGGTGGAGGAGACCCATAGATTTAAGATTAGAGAAGGTATGGTCGAGAAATAAAAGGTCGGTGTACTGCCTACCGACTATCACGGTCACGAAAACCGGAGAACTCCGCTTGGCTCTCCGGAACGATGTGGACGAGCTGTGAGAAATGCGTGGTACATCGGATTCCCTCTGAGTACAGTGCTGAGGAGTTAATGCTCATGTAAAGTCACAGGCAACGAAGCGGTCGGAAGGCGGGGGATTGTTGAGCCCGATCTCTCGTCCAGTCACCGCGCACTTTCGTACGATCCAAGACTGATGGAGACGGTGGAGCGAGGCCGACCCGCGGACGACAACTCCTCGGAGCCTGGTCACAGCTCGCGGAAATGGGTGGTACCTGGCATTCCCTCTTGAGTGCAGTGCTGAGGAGTTAATGGAAGATCTCAAACTTAAATCCTATGCTGTGGAGGAGACCCATAGATTTAAGATTAGGCAAGGTATGGTCGAGAAATAAAAGGTGTCTGGTTCCTTTGACACTCTCACGGGCGTGAGAAGTTCTCAAACTTATAGTCTATGGTGTGGAGGAGACCCATAGTTTTAAGATTTGAGAAGATATGGTCGAGAAATAAAAGGTGTCTGGTTCCTTTGACACTCTCACGGGCGTGAGAAGTTCTCAAACTTATACCCTATGGTATGGAGGAGACCCATAGATTTAAGATTTGAGAAGGTATGGTCGAGAAATAAAAGGTGTCTGGTTCCTTTGACACTCTCACGGGCGTGAGAAGTTCTCAAACTTATACCCTATGGTATGGAGGAGACCCATAGATTTAAGATTTGAGAAGATATGGTCGAGAAATAAAAGGTGTCTGGTTCCTTTGACACTCTCACGGGCGTGAGAAGTTCTCAAACTTATAACCTATGGTATGGAGGAGACCCATAGATTTAAGATTTGAGAAGGTATGGTCGAGAAATAAAAGGTGTCTGGTTCCTTTGAGAAGTTCTCAAACTTATAGCCTATGGGTGGAGGAGACCCATAGATTTAAGATTAGAGAAGGTATGGTCGAGAAATAAAAGGTCGGTGTACTGCCTACCGACTATCACGGTCACGAAAACCGGAGAACTCCGCTTGGCTCTCCGGGACGATGTGGACGAGCTGTGAGAAATGCGTGGTACATCGGATTCCCTCTGAGTACAGTGCTGAGGAGTTAATGCTCATGTAAAGTCACAGGCAGCGAAGCGGTCGGAAGGCGGGGGATCGTTGAGCCCGATCACTCGTCCAGTCACCGCACACTTTCGTACGATCCAAGACGCGAGACGGTGGAGCGAGAACGGTAGGTAGGGGATCGTTTAGCCACGGTTCTCTCTCTCTCTCGAAGGCAACGAAGCGGTCGGAAGGCGGGGGATTGTTGAGCCCGATCTCTCGTCCAGTCACTGCGCACTTTCGTACGATCCAAGAATCGATGGAGACGGAGCGAGGCCGACCCGGAGACGAAAACGGAGAACGGAAGGTAGGGGATCGTTTAGCCACGGTTCTCTCTCTCTCGAAGGCAACGAAGCGGTCGGAAGGCGGGGGATTGTTGAGCCCGATCTCTCGTCCAGTCACTGCGCACTTTCGTACGATCCAAGACTCGAGACGGTGGAGAATGGAAGGCAGGGGATCATTTAGCCCACAGTTCTCTCTCTAGAAGGCAACGAAGCGGTCGGAAGGCGGGGGATTGTTGAGCCCGATCTCTCGTCCAGTCACTGCGCACTTTCGTACGATCCAAGACTCGAGACGGTGGAGAATGGAAGGCAGGGGATCATTTAGCCCACGGTTCTCTCTCTAGAAGGCAACGAAGCGGTCGGAAGGCGGGGGATTGTTGAGCCCGATCTCTCGTCCAGTCACTGCGCACTTTCGTACGATCCAAGACCCGAGACGGTGGAGAATGGAAGGCAGGGGATCATTTAGCCCACGGTTCTCTCTCTAGAAGGCAACGAAGCGGTCGGAAGGCGGGGGATTGTTGAGCCCGATCTCTCGTCCAGTCACTGCGCACTTTCGTACGATCCAAGACCCGAGACGGTGGAGAATGGAAGGCAGGGGATCATTTAGCCCACGGTTCTCTCTCTAGAAGGCAACGAAGCGGTCGGAAGGCGGGGGATTGTTGAGCCCGATCTCTCGTCCAGTCACTGCGCACTTTTGTACGATCCAAGACTCGAGACGGTGGAGAATGTATGGCAGGGGATCATTCAGCCCACGGTTCTCTCTCTAGAAGGCAACGAAGCGGTCGGAAGGCGGGGGATTGTTGAGCCCGATCTCTCGTCCAGTCACTGCGCACTTTCGTACGATCCAAGACTCGAGACGGTGGAGAATGGAAGGCAGGGGATCATTTAGCCCACGGTTCTCTCTCTAGAAGGCAACGAAGCGGTCGGAAGGCGGGGGATTGTTGAGCCCGATCTCTCGTCCAGTCACTGCGCACTTTCGTACGATCCAAGACTCGAGACGGTGGAGAATGGAAGGCAGGGGATCATTTAGCCCACGGTTCTCTCTCTAGAAGGCAACGAAGCGGTCGGAAGGCGGGGGATTGTTGAGCCCGATCTCTCGTCCAGTCACCGCGCACTTTCGTACGATCCAAGACTGATGGAGACGGTGGAGCGAGGCCGACCCGCGGACGACAACTCCTCGGAGCCTGGTCACAGCTCGCGGAAATGGGTGGTACCTGGCATTCCCTCTTGAGTGCAGTGCTGAGGAGTTAATGGAAGATCTCAAACTTAAATCCTATGCTGTGGAGGAGACCCATAGATTTAAGATTAGGCAAGGTATGGTCGAGAAATAAAAGGTGTCTGGTTCCTTTGACACTCTCACGGGCGTGAGAAGTTCTCAAACTTATAGTCTATGGTGTGGAGGAGACCCATAGTTTTAAGATTTGAGAAGATATGGTCGAGAAATAAAAGGTGTCTGGTTCCTTTGACACTCTCACGGGCGTGAGAAGTTCTCAAACTTATACCCTATGGTATGGAGGAGACCCATAGATTTAAGATTTGAGAAGGTATGGTCGAGAAATAAAAGGTGTCTGGTTCCTTTGACACTCTCACGGGCGTGAGAAGTTCTCAAACTTATACCCTATGGTATGGAGGAGACCCATAGATTTAAGATTTGAGAAGATATGGTCGAGAAATAAAAGGTGTCTGGTTCCTTTGACACTCTCACGGGCGTGAGAAGTTCTCAAACTTATAACCTATGGTATGGAGGAGACCCATAGATTTAAGATTTGAGAAGGTATGGTCGAGAAATAAAAGGTGTCTGGTTCCTTTGAGAAGTTCTCAAACTTATAGCCTATGGGTGGAGGAGACCCATAGATTTAAGATTAGAGAAGGTATGGTCGAGAAATAAAAGGTCGGTGTACTGCCTACCGACTATCACGGTCACGAAAACCGGAGAACTCCGCTTGGCTCTCCGGGACGATGTGGACGAGCTGTGAGAAATGCGTGGTACATCGGATTCCCTCTGAGTACAGTGCTGAGGAGTTAATGCTCATGTAAAGTCACAGGCAGCGAAGCGGTCGGAAGGCGGGGGATCGTTGAGCCCGATCACTCGTCCAGTCACCGCACACTTTCGTACGATCCAAGACGCGAGACGGTGGAGAACGGTAGGCAGGGGATCATTTAGCCCACAGTTCTCTCTAGAAGGCAACGAAGCGGTCGGAAGGCGGGGGATTGTTGAGCCCGATCTCTCGTCCAGTCACCGCGCACTTTCGTACGATCCAAGACTCGATGGAGATGGTGGAGCGAGGCCGACCCGGGGACGAAAACGGGGTGTGGAGAACTCCGCTTGGATTTCTGGGACGAGGTGGACATGGATGTTCCAGCTTTCACAAGGTATGCAAATCAAGTGACAAAATGTGAAGAATATTCTGATTTTTCGCCTCCATCACATGAATAATGAAAGTTTGTATTTCTTTGGCATAGCGTCATAAAATTTTAGATTGCTATACAGGCCAAGGCTAGAGTCTTTCACACAGAATTAAACTGTTTATTTAATAACATTTATCCATATTTCTATTACATATTACAGACGATGGCTTCATGGTAGTTGTTCTGTGGGTAAGCAACATTTGTTTAAATAAAAGATCTTCACCATATTACAATATATTCGTCAAACTACATAGAAAAAGTTCCCGTCCTATATCTGGCTACTCTGACCTATGACACAGGTCTAGTCCAATGTTACTGACATTTGTAAATATAACCATTCAACACCAATGAATTTGTCAATTGATACGCATATTGATTTGAGTTTAGGAAAAGAGTTAACGCTAATATTAATTCATGGGGTTTTATTTTCAAATTACGCTATAGGAGACAAAAAGTTTATGATATAATAGAGGTCCACACGTTATTATTTATCTTATACTGGGCCTGTCTTTATATTTTGGCTTGTTGTTGTATAAGCTTGGCTTGTGCACCAGATTCGTTTGTAAATATCATGTGATGTTTTCCATGATGTATTATTAGTTTTTTTTGGTTGAAAGTTATAGACATGGGGAGTAATTAAATTGGGATATATTAATATGGCATCGACTAATCCTACATCTTCTTTAGGCAACTAATATTTTTGTTTTTTGGGTTTTTTTGTTGTTTTTTTTTTGGGGGGGGGGGTGCACGTTTTTCGCTGCATTTGCTTGCTATGTAAGGGGTGCTATATTTAATATATTCTGATATTTTCTTTATCTTAGATTTTTAATGCCGTTAACGTAAATTGCAAATTTCTCATGAGTCCAGTAAAGATAACCTTGTATAACGTGTTTCTATGATAAACTTAGATGTATTGTTGATAGTGGGGTCTAGAGAGTTTACGGATACAGGTGAGTTAGATTTTAATATTCTTTGGTAATATAAGGCAAGACAAAAGTAAACAGATTGTGTGAACAGATTCTAATTTGAAACAATTCTATTTCACAGGATTGTTATTGTAAGTTTGATAGAAAACAAATAAAGGGTTTAGCCAGAATCAACTAAACATAAATATATTTTTTTTCCTTAAAAATAGTGACGGCGCCGGTTAAAGTACATATACTGTAATTGGATGCAGTCTGGAAATTTAGAATGTACAGAACGTGAAACTGAATAATCCTCCTCTCTTACATGATCGTGGGGACGCAGAGCATATTATACATGGAGGTATTGTACAGTCAATGCAATTGATGAGGTAAGCATTAATATCAATATTTTCTATTTCTAAAACAAAATCGCAAGTGTTATTACGGTAATATAAAATTTCAAACATTATGTTTTATTTAGAACTTAAAATGTCGTACAGTATAACGTAACACGATGAACCGAAACGGTAGTGGTATTTCAAAGAAATGTTTTTTTTTATAAGCAATATTTTATTCAGATCTGTATCTGAATAGGGATTGGGGAACAGACATAGCCTATATTAAACCCCTCTCCCTGTCAGATATAGATACATGCATTTACATTTTAGATATTAATAATCAATGTACACGTGCAAGTATGATTATAGTGAGAATATATTTACAATGATGAGTGTTTATAGTTGTCCCTGGAACCGTCTGGTGATTTCGAAAAACGAATGGACAGTTTTAAAAATATTGAGTGTTTCGATGAATAGTCGATAAATTATTTATTGTTTTATTTCGGGCATCTGAACATCAGGAGCATTTCAATAAAAAAATGTTCGGTGTCTTCAAATTGATGTCCACAATTAGAAATTTCACGAATGAGGGTAGCTGATTGTGTTAAAAGAGTTCAAATATATTACATATTGTGTATGTCTAATAATTCACTATTGGATCCTTATTTTAGAACATTTAAAAACCATACATACTTGCTAATTACAACTTCTCTAGTTCCTCTAGGCTGCAAGTTTGTCTTTGGCTGTTGAAATGTGTCTATTAGCATGCCAAGATAGTGCCCGATGTTATAAACACAAAATATATAATCGTATATTTTACAGGACCACAACAATGTTAAGGCGCCGAATGATCAATACGATGATGATTACCACGGTTATAGGACACAGACAGGGGAGGTATTAATAGCATTTATTTATAAATAATTCAAATTAAAGTCCATGCGATATGCTTAATTACATAATATGGTGGTCTTTGAATCAAATTATACATATTGACTGAGACATTCGTGGAAATAGAAATTACGCCTTCAGAACTGTAACATTTCAACTGAACGTATCACTTGGTCGCCATAGGTACATTCAATGGTAGTTCTTAGATGAATTTACTGTGAACAAATCATACTTCAGCTGCAAGATGAGATTTTCTATAGTCGCAAAACAATACAGCATGTCTGTTGGTAGTTTTCGAAAACTTTTCAGATTTGCTGAAATATTAATCGTGTTGTACAGATGGGCAGATTTTCAACTATGTCCTTTTTAAAAGGAAATTGTTCATGTGGACCATTTAATTGTCACATTTTACCTTTTTTCCAGCTGTGACTTGGATGGATGTCAAGCGGCCGTTTATGGTTCCAGGAACTCGACTGGGAAATGGAACATTAACAGGGAAATTCTAGATTGGCAATAGCAGGTTTATGTATGTACTGCATGTACTATATATATTTTCTAAATTTTCATGGGTCTGTCTAATACACGTAGGTACAGTAAAGAACATTATGTTGACAAGTTTGAAACACATTTTAAAATACGGACCCCTTGAAAACATTGACTTTTAGTTAGGCTTGGGGTGTAAAACTACTTGAGGGACCGAGTCCATCTGTTATGCCGAGACTAACATGTCATAACTTCATCAAAGATCACAACAAATATGTTTATCTCTATCGGGAGAAAACATACCGACGGTCAGATGGGATGGACAGTTTCTTCATATATACACAAAATAAAAACCATAACTTCATCAACAAAGATCACACCAAATATGTTTATCTCTATCGGGAGAAAACATACCGACGGTCAGATGGGACGGACAATTTCTTCATACATTCACAAAATAAACACCATAACTTCATCAACAAAGATCACACCAAATATGTTTATCTCTATCGGGAGAAAGCACACCGACGGTCAGATGGGACAGGCAGTTTCTTCATACATACACAAAATAAACACCTTCTCCTGTCCGTACAGTTTCTTCATACATAGATATAGGCAGTTTGCTTCGTTTCTTTGGAACATAACATTTGGGGTTGTTTCGTCCTGCAGTTTAAACCGATATCCTCACTAAAAGTCTATCAAATCACTTCTCTATGTAAAGGTGTTTCCAAGACTTGTTAGCTAATGTTTTTATACTGTAACATTTTGATTCAAATATTGATGGGGTTCGTTTGCAATTTGGATTTAACTATTGTTATATATCGCCAATGGTCATCAATTTATCTAAATAAGCTTGTTATTGCCAAACTAGTATTTTTCTAATGAAGTTGTCTACAGATATCTATTGTTTTTATTTTTCATTTATATTATATGCATTATTATGTTTAATTACATTGTAAGGTCAGCAGTGAGTAAACACTTCCGATAGATTCTCAATACTGATCACTGATGTCCGAAACGCCTACAAAGATCAAAATGTTTCATATGGGGTAACATAATACTTTATAAGGACGTTAGGTCAACATTCAAAATTTTTCATTGTCTATACTTGGGACATAAAACTTTATGGATTCTTCATGTCAAATTACAACTCTTTCGAAACTTTCGACCGAGCAACAGGATTTTTTTGTTAAAAGATGTTATCTTTTCATATTTTTATTGTTTTCGAGGGGAGGTTTTTTATTAAGGTTTATTTCTGTAATTCACTTATATTACTCAAATAATTACCTTAGAATAATATCTTTAAAGACTGTAGGCTTTTCTGGCAGAATATTTAATGTTTTTTGGAAACAAATATTCACATATAATGTGTATTATTGTGTTTGTCGTTGGTAACTGAATACGTCATTAGAAATAACCATTTCGAAATTACAATTTGTTCGAATCTTTCGACAAACCAACGTGATTTTTTTTGTTTTCATCTAAATAAGCTTTGTTATTGCCAAACTAGTATTTTTCTAATGAAGTTGTCTACAGATATCTATTGTTTTTATTTTTCATTTATATTATATGCATTATTATGTTTAATTACAATGTAAGGTCAGCAGTGAGTAAACACTTCCGATAGATTCTCAATACTGACCACTGATGTCCGAAACGCCTACAAAGATCAAAATGTTTCATATGGGGTAACATAATACTTTATAAGGACGTTAGGTCAACATTCAAAATTTTTCATTGTCTATACTTGGGACATAAAACTTTATGGATTCTTCATGATGTCAAATTACAACTCTTTCGAAACTTTCGACCGAGCAACAGGATTTTTTTGTTAAAAGATGTTATCTTTTCATATTTTTATTGTTTTCGAGGGGAGGTTTTTATTAAGGTTTATTTCTGTAATTCTCTTATATTACTCAAATAATTACCTTAGAATAATATCTTTAAAGACTGTAGGCTTTTCTGGCAGAATATTTAATGTTTTTTGGAAACAAATATTCACATATAATGTGTATTATTGTGTTTGTCGTTGGTAACTGAATACGCCATTAGAAATAACCATTTCGAAATTACAATTTGTTCGAAACTTTCGACAAACCAACATGATTTTTTTTTGTTTTCATCTAAATAAGCTTTGTTATTGCCAAACTAGTATTTTTCTAATGAAGTCGTCTACAGACGTCTGCTGTTATTATTTTTCATTTATATTATGTTCATGATTATGTTTATTAAAATGTAAGGTCAGCAGTGAGTAAACACTTCCGGTTGATCAGAGCACTTGGGAAAATCCTACCTCCCCCTTCCTAAATGGGAGTTAGGGTTGGGTAGCCGGCTCTCAACACAGACCACTCATGTCATAAACGCCTACAAAGATCAGAATGTTTAATTTTGGGTAACATAATACTTTATATGGACGTTAGGTCTGTAATTCTCTTATATTACTCAAATAATTACCTTAGAATAATATCTTTAAAGACTGTAGGCTTTTCTGGCAGAATATTTAATGTTTTTTGGAAACAAATATTCACATATAATGTGTATTATTGTGTTTGTCGTTGGTAACTGAATACGTCATTAGAAATAACCATTTCGAAATTACAATTTGTTCGAATCTTTCGACAAACCAACGTGATTTTTTTTGTTTTCATCTAAATAAGCTTTGTTATTGCCAAACTAGTATTTTTCTAATGAAGTTGTCTACAGATATCTATTGTTTTTATTTTTCATTTATATTATATGCATTATTATGTTTAATTACAATGTAAGGTCAGCAGTGAGTAAACACTTCCGATAGATTCTCAATACTGACCACTGATGTCCGAAACGCCTACAAAGATCAAAATGTTTCATATGGGGTAACATAATACTTTATAAGGACGTTAGGTCAACATTCAAAATTGTTCATTGTCTATACTTGGGACATAAAACTTTATGGATTCTTCATGATGTCAAATTACAACTCTTTCGAAACTTTCGACCGAGCAACAGGATTTTTTTGTTAAAAGATGTTATCTTTTCATATTTTTATTGTTTTCGAGGGGAGGTTTTTATTAAGGTTTATTTCTGTAATTCTCTTATATTACTCAAATAATTACCTTAGAATAATATCTTTAAAGACTGTAGGCTTTTCTGGCAGAATATTTAATGTTTTTTGGAAACAAATATTCACATATAATGTGTATTATTGTGTTTGTCGTTGGTAACTGAATACGCCATTAGAAATAACCATTTCGAAATTACAATTTGTTCGAAACTTTCGACAAACCAACATGATTTTTTTTTTGTTTTCATCTAAATAAGCTTTGTTATTGCCAAACTAGTATTTTTCTAATGAAGTCGTCTACAGACGTCTGCTGTTATTATTTTTCATTTATATTATGTTCATGATTATGTTTATTAAAATGTAAGGTCAGCAGTGAGTAAACACTTCCGGTTGATCAGAGCACTTGGGAAAATCCTACCTCCCCCTTCCTAAATGGGAGTTAGGGTTGGGTAGCCGGCTCTCAACACAGACCACTCATGTCATAAACGCCTACAAAGATCAGAATGTTTAATTTTGGGTAACATAATACTTTATATGGACGTTAGGTCTGTAATTCTCTTATATTACTCAAATAATTACCTTAGAATAATATCTTTAAAGACTGTAGGCTTTCCTGACAGAATATTTAATGTTTTTTCGATATTATTATGTGCATTATTGTGTTTGTAGGATTTTGTCAGACGCATAAGATGTTTTAATTTATATTTGTTTTTCGCTGATATTACTCTTGGGACAATATCACCGACATATGATTTTTCTTTATTATAATCATAATGATTATCTTATGTTAAATTAATACTCATTATATAGGTTGTGTGTTTTTTTGTACTCCCATATTAAACATTATTTTGTTTTTTTTTACGCCCATTATTTTATGCCTGTAGGTCTGTAATGCTACATGTCAAACTTCTAAATTTTCCATTTTTCTAAACTTGGTACAAAACTTTATGGATTCTTCATGATGTCAAATTACAACTCTTTCGAAACTTTCGACCGAGCAACAGGATTTTTTTGTTAAAAGATGTTATCTTTTCATATTTTTATTGTTTTCGAGGGGAGGTTTTTATTAAGGTTTATTTCTGTAATTCACTTATATTACTCAAATAATTACCTTAGAATAATATCTTTAAAGACTGTAGGCTTTTCTGGCAGAATATTTAATGTTTTTTGGAAACAAATATTCACATATAATGTGTATTATTGTGTTTGTCGTTGGTAACTGAATACGCCATTAGAAATAACCATTTCGAAATTACAATTTGTTCGAAACTTTCGACAAACCAACATGATTTTTTTTTGTTTTCATCTAAATAAGCTTTGTTATTGCCAAACTAGTATTTTTCTAATGAAGTCGTCTACAGACGTCTGCTGTTATTATTTTTCATTTATATTATGTGCATGATTATGTTTATTAAAATGTAAGGTCAGCAGTGAGTAAACACTTCCGGTTGATCAGAGCACTTGGGAAAATCCTACCTCCCCCTTCCTAAATGGGAGTTAGGGTTGGGTAGCCGGCTCTCAACACAGACCACTCATGTCATAAACGCCTACAAAGATCAGAATGTTTAATTTTGGGTAACATAATACTTTATATGGACGTTAGGTCTGTAATTCTCTTATATTACTCAAATAATTACCTTAGAATAATATCTTTAAAGACTGTAGGCTTTCCTGACAGAATATTTAATGTTTTTTCGATATTATTATGTGCATTATTGTGTTTGTAGGATTTTGTCAGACGCATAAGATGTTTTAATTTATATTTGTTTTTCGCTGATATTACTCTTGGGACAATATCATCGACATATGATTTTTCTTTATTATAATCATAATGATTATCTTATGTTAAATAAATACTCATTATATAGGTTGTGTGTTTTTTTGTACTCCCATATTAAACATTATTTTGGGTTTTTTACGCCCATTATTTTATGCCTGTAGGTCTGTAATGCTACATGTCAAACTTCTAAATTTTCCATTTTTCTAAACTTGGTACAAATCTTTATGGGAATTTGAACGGGGTAAAAAATATTTCGAAAGTTTCTGCATACCAAAATGATTTGAAGGTGGGGGGGGGGGATCCTGACCGCCAGACCATCATGCAATAGGTCAACATTCTAAATTTTCTATTTTTCTAAACTTGGAACATAAACCTTTATGGGAATTAGAATGGGTCAAAATTATTTCGAAATTTTCGACATACCAACATGTAGTAGTGGGTGCGGGGTGGATATGATTTTAGGAGCAACCGCATTTCATAGCTTTTAAAATATTGTTTAATATGGACCAATTGATAATTTAAAAGATTATATTATTGTTTGTTAATCAATTAATTACTGATAGATGTAGTTAAAAATCATTTACAAATAAAATATTTCACCATCGCTGTGTTTTGAATCTGATAGGGTGGCGGAACACCAGCCTTTTAATTTTGCTGCGAAATGTTTAACACGGCGGTGGTAGATGAAAAATAGCTCTGAAATCAATGTTCAGGGAAGTGACGATTATCATGGAAGAAACATGAGGCATCTTATTAATTTGAGATAACAATTTCACAGGTTACAAGTTTTGTTTAGCTTTATCGGCCCCTCAGATGCTATAGGTGTAGGTTCCCTTCGGCCCATTTTGTTACACTGTTTCATCTATTGCACGAAAAAGCGTTGAACCCTCGTCGGGTTAATCAACGAAGCCCTTGTTGGGTTAATCAACGAAATTAATATGAGAGAAGTGGGGCTTTAACGTCAACTCGTCACAGACTAGGTCATTTCCTGACTAACATGTGGTTCAAATGTATTTAAATAATTTGTTTGTGCATATTGGTCTTGAGCCGTGGGGAGAGAATCCACCAGTGGCAAGTCGAAAACAAATTGATCACATGACTGACCTTATCTAACGCGCACGCCCCCCCCCCCAACCTCCTCAGAGAATTAAAGGACAATATTGGTGTCGGTCATTATCCCATATGTTATAGAACTGGTTAAACACGTTCCAAATATTATTTTATCACAGATCACTACGATAGATGAGTAATGAAGGATTCAACAAACGGAAGTGACGAACGCAAAAGGTAAACACGAGTTATCCCTCTATATAACTGACCGAAGTGATGAGTGAAAACAAATACACGGGCGAATTTTTGCTCACTAATAATTCCTTCAAAGATCAAAAGTTGTGTGAGACTGAGAGGAAACCCGACATTTCAAAAAAGTAATTGAATGTCACTAGATAAGAGAACGCAAGAAAAATAGAAATAGTCCGTACATTCCCTGGTTTTTATTCATTCTATACATGGTAATGCACAGACTTTTTCTATTTCTGGATTTAATTAAACTGCCTTTTCCTTTCGAATTGTCGATTTTGGCAAATTACGAAAAACTAATAGCTTGTGTTTCAATATTAGCTTATAACAAAATGAAAGGAAATGGGCTTTAACGTCCTACCGTTCTGCACCGACTGGGCTAATGAAGACGGACATACGTCATAAAGTGTGCTATGAGGGGCATGTTACCAAAATATGTACAAGGGATCTCGGGTTTTCTTCCCAACCACGCCTGGAAATCCGATGAAATTTTTCAGCCAATCCCATGATCGAACACTGAACCTAACTCACAGAGCTTTAAATCTTTGTGTTCCGTTATTCAAATCAATTGAAATGGGATTTAACGTCCTATATATTTTGTTTCCGCGGAAATATTGGTTGTTTTTTTTTTGTTTTAAATCCCATTGAATCTAAGCCGTGACATAATCTAGCGTTGGTATTTTAATTTTGTTTTCTTAATTAAATGTTAAATAATCTAAGTACATATTGGTGTGGATTAAGTCATGAGAAATTTGATATTTTAGCGCAAAATGCAAATAATGCACTGTCGAGTTGAAAAGTAAAGGCGGAAAATGGTTGAAACCACGTTCAATCAACTACGGCTGGTACAGATTAATATGAAATCTTACGGTTGAGTTCATTTTATTAGATGTCCAAGTGGTCGAAATAAATCAACATCTAGGTCTGTATTCAAAGGTTTTCTTAAAGTTAAATAAAAATACTTAATTTATCCACTTAAACAAGTTTCCTTAAATCGGTATTCAAAGGCTCTATTTTACATATACTTGGCTATTTGAAAAACTCAACTACACACTTAAAATATGGAATGCTCTAATCCTAACCCTAACATTAGCCAAAAAGCATGAATTTTTAACTTATGAAATAACCTCCACTGCCAAAAATCACGAATTACTCACGTCGTCGCATGCAAGTTATGTCCCCTTTAGATCACCACATACTATTTTAAAATGCTCTTTGTAGGCCAGTGGGTCTATTAGGTCCACATCTTAAATATATATTATACAACCAGCGGTTGCCAGGCAAGATACTGCCACATTTTGCAAGAGATGGATAGAGAACAAGTTATAAAAAAAACCCACAATTTTTCGTATATGATCAGTAGCCTTAATCCAAGAAGTTATGGTCTGAAATGCGGGAGTATTGAAAGGTACTGAGATATATTTTAAGTTTCATCAAAATCCGACAATAATTGCGACCTCTAGGGGGTCAACAATCTTCGTATTACATTTACACAATTGCGTACAAGGCCATTTTGTCGGACATTTTCTATTCAATTGTCCCGAAATTCTTGATTAGCCTACAATAGGATGAAAAGGTGATATATTTAAATGGTTTTTAAAATCAAATAAAAATCGTGACGTCTGGAGGATCAAAAAACTAAAATGTCGATTTTTTTCGTACAATTTCCATACAATCGGGGGCCTTAATCAAGGAAATCAAGGTCCGCTATGAAAAAACATTACAAACTAGAACTGCGAAGCAGTAATGACGGGTTTAACTGTTGCCACGTTACCCTTCAACTTATGTCACTTTCGGTGAAACGTTACCCTTGAACTCATCACTTCCGGTACCAATGAAACCGATAAACAGATTCCCACAGAATTGGTTATTTCTCGACAAATATCATATTGTTAAACAAATAATAAATACAACCCACTTCAAAAAAAAAAATGACCGCTTAAAATGCAGTTTTTGCCAAAATGTCATTACTTCCGGTGATAATGAAAATGTTAAATTAGTTCTATAAAATAATAAATGGCATAAGGCATCACATGGTGAAAATTTATGAAAATCTGATAAGTCATGAAAAGTGACTTGTAGAAAATCATCTGCAACCATACAAGTCAGAAACCATTTTGTGGTATCTGTATGATCGTATGGGTTTATTCTATTTGTTAATTCGAATCAAATATCATAATTTTTAAAAAACATTACAAATAAGAATCATTTGAATAAAATATCTGATTTTAAGGCTAAAAATACAGTTTTTGTCCAAATGATGTCATTTCTGGTGACAGTGAAAATGTTAAATTAGTATGCCCTAGTCAAAATTGGCATAAGGCATCAAATGGTAAAAAATAAATTGAAAATCGAATAATAATTGACTCCTTTACAGGCAAAATAATGTGAAAAGTGACGCGTGCAAAATTGCCTATTTCTCGGCAACTGCTCACATTACTAATTTTCACATACATTCTCTTCCTATGCATTATTGCTACGAGTTTATGAAAGTTACGAAGAAATATTTTAAAATATGAAACGCTGAATGGGTTGTAAATAGCTTAATTTTACACCTTTTTTATACGCCCACAATTGTTTGTGGACTCTCTACAGGTCACAATTCTTATCCGATTTTGACGAAACTTGAAATATAGGTTTATCCCCAAAAGATCGCGGCTGCTTTCGATATTGGCATGTATCGGATCGAAACTTCATGGATTATGGCCCCTGATTTTACGAAAAATCACGTTTTTAGCTTGTGGACCCTATAGAGGTCACAATTTTTATCCGATTTTGTTAAAATTTGAATTGTAAGTTTATAACCCAAAGATCTCGGTTCTTTTCGATATTCGCGCATATCGGACCGTAACTTCCTGAATTATGGCCCCTGAATGTACGAAAAATCGCGTTTTTAGCTTGTGGACCCTATAGAGGTCATAATTTTTATCCGATTTAAAAAAAACGTATTATTATATCACCGTTACACCCTAAGGAAGGCTGATTTCGAATTTCGTGAAAATCGGCCCAAAATTGACAGACAAAATGGCCGCCGTTCGTTCTCAAATAGCGTAAAAATATGGTATATCAAGGTTGTGGACCCTATAGAGGTCACAATTTTAATCCGATTTTGTTGAAACGTGAAATGTAAGTTTATAACACAAAGATCTCGGTTCCTTTCGATATTTGCGCATACTGAATTGTAATTTCCTGAATTATGGCCCTTGATTGTAGGAAAAATCACTTTCTTTTAAGCTTGTTCTCTATCCATCTCTCGAAAATGTGGGCATATCCTGCCTGGCAGCCGCTGGTTCACATTTTAATCGAAATAGGCCGAAAACGAAATCGAAATTAAAAAAACTGAGTCCGATGTTTTGTGCGCCTTTGATGGCGCATCCTTTTGGTAATATCAAATTTTGAAAAATAATATTTGCTTTCAAAAAGTGGTACTGAACTGTCAAAATTATAGTTTTTGTTAAAATTAAGTCACTTTCGGTGCCGACAGATAACTCTATCGGTAACATAAAAAATGACATTTTTGAAAAAGGAGCATATGAAGTTTGTTTTAAACAAATCGAACAATTAATAATCAATCTAGGAGAGAAAAACTGAATTAGCCAATGGCGGCCAAGCAAAATTATGTAGACAAAAATTGTTGACATTTTTGCTCAAATCAGACGACCCTTTAGCACTGGATAAACTACCATAAAGAAATATTCATTAAGATATACTCAAGAGGAAAAAACAACCATCACTAGAACTGCGATGCAGTAATGACGGGTTTCACTGGTACCACGTTACTCTTAAACATATCCATTAAACAGGTTTCCACATAAGCATTGCACACATCAAATAAAATGGACGCAGAATCAACCAAATCCAGCAATATCAATTTCTTTTATACATTTTTTTTACATGTAAGTGTACAGTACCTCCGGTGATAATGACAATGTTAAATTAGTTCTATGAAATAAGAAATGGCACAAGGCATCACATGGTGCAAATTTTATGTAAATTGAATAATAATTGCCACTTTTATAGATCAAAAACCTTGAAAAGTGACTAGTAGAAAATCGTCTATTTCTCTGCAACCGTACAAGTTAGAAACCATTTGTTGGTATCTGTATGATCGCGTGGGTTCAATCTATTTTTTGATTGGAATCAAATATCATAATATGAAAAGCATTACAAATCAGACTCATTTGAATAAAATATCTGTTTTGAAGGCTAAAAATACAGTTTTTGCCAAAATGGCGTTACTTCCGGTGATAATGAAAATCTTTAATTACTTGTATGAAATCATAAATGACATTAGGTATCACACAC